AACTTTAGCTTTGCCCCTCTTTTCTTGGCTAGCCTTGAATGTCAAATCTTTCTTCTTGGTGGAAGAAAAGCCATCTTGTGGAGTGATGTGCATATACATCTCATGTGCATTGATCTTTCCCAATATTTGAGTTGGCGTAGCGGTAGAAAGATCACCTTGATGAAGCACCGTCACAATATGCCCATAGAACATTCAAGCGAGAATACATTTTATTAGCACTTTCACTAGGAAGCATTTCAAATGAATTAAGCTTCTTCATCACAAGCTGATAGCGTTCCTCACGCTCACTCTTGGTTCCCTCATGGAGCGCACAAATGTCCGACCATAGTGAATGGCCGTCTTTGTGATTCCGCACAAGGTTAAAGACATCCTTGCAAAGGCCTCTAAAAAGGGTGTTTCTAGCCTTTGCATTTCACTTCTCGTAGTGAACCTCATCACCTTGAAGGTTGGCGGGATCCTTAGGTTTTGGGAGTCCTTGTGAGGAGGATCTAAGCACTCCAACATCTAAAGCCTCTAGGTACGCCTCCATGCGAATTTTTCAATAAGAAAAATCATCTCCCTCAAAGACGGGAGGGGGTCCATCCCCGTGGGACATCTTGCTCTAGGTGGTTAAGCCTAATTTAAGGAGCACGAGGCTTCGATATCAATTGAAAGGATCAAGATGCCTAAGAGGGGGGTGAATTGGGCTAATTCTAAATTTCTTGCAATAATTAAGCCCTACACTTAGCCCATTTCAACCCCTTGTGCCTAGAAATGTTTCTATTGTTCTACCGCACAAAAGTTTTGTACCCTAGGTTCCAATCCTACTCTAGCATGGCAATTCTAAGAATGTAAAGACATGAATTGAATTGCTCAAATGTAAATGGTCAAAGTAAAGAGAGGGAGAGGAATACGGCGATGCTTTTCCATGGTATTAGAGAGTTGCCACTCCCCACTAGTCCTCATTGGAGCACCCACACAAGGGTGTAGCTCCCCCTTGATCCGCGCAAGGATCAAGTGCTCTCTACGGGCTGATTTTGTGACACTCCGTCACAGTGAATCGCCCACAACCGCTCACAAGATGACTTGGGTCATCCATAAGCTCTGCCGGATGATAACCAAGCTTCCAATCACCACCAGGGCATCTAGGTGATGGCGATCACCAAGAGTAACAAGCACAAACTCTCACTTGACCATGATAAGCCTAATGAGAAAGGTGGATGAACACTTGCTACTCCCTATGCACTAATGAGGTCCTTAATCTTGGATTCTCAAATCTCAATTACCCCACTTGGCTCTTACTCTCCCTTGCACTCTAAAGTGTTTCCTCAGCTGAATAAATGGGCAAGAGAGCTAAGTTGGACGAGTAGAAGTATTTATACTCCCACTTCAAAACATACCCATTGGGGTCCAACTTAGCACATTTCGGGATGATCGAACACATCTGGACACTCTAATAGGCTACAAGGACGCCAGCCATGACAGACGACCGTTAAACTGACCTGACTCAATGTAGTGTCCGATCCCTCCAGATGTGACACGTTCGGTCCAGAAATATCTCCTCTGGACCCTTTCTGTAACTGACCGGACTCGGCCATGAGTGAGTCAGGTCACACACTTCATTGCGTCTAGTCGTCTGTGATCACAAGGCCGAGAGCGGCTGTGGAGGTACCTGTGCGTCCGGTCTGCAACTAGACCCAGCGTCCAGTCATCAAACTTCCTTGCTGCATGGGCATTACAACTGACCGGACGTAGCTTGACCGAGTCCAGTCAATTCAAGACTAGAGTCCGGTCATCTTTTCTCACAGCCATTCACTTCCAATTCAATTCCTTTGTGAATGAAGTTGACTTCTATCGATCTTTGGGCTGTCCTTGAGCTACCTAGTGCTAAGTTTGACAAGTGTGCACACACCTAACACATTAGACTCACCTAGATAAAGCTACTAGTTCATACCCCCTTAATACTACGGCCAGAGGAAAATACAAAGTCCTAAACTACTCTAAGTGTCTCTCCAACGCCAAATGACACTTAGAATTAGTCGTCCTTAACCTTGTTGTCCATCCTTTGAAAACCAAAATGATTTCCATCGATAGGGGCATGAAAACCATAGTTGCCCAATCAATCACCATTACCATGACCTAACGCAAATCGCCTCTGCAAAACACACGTTAGTCACAATAATTTTGTGTCGTCATTAATCACCGAAACCCAACTAGGGCCTAGATGCTTTCAACCGCCATAGGGGTGGCGGTGCCCCCGGGGCAGCACCCTGAGCCAAGTTTCACCTCCTTTTCTTCACCTTTTTTACCACCTTTGTAAATGTGCTAACACTCCAAGTGTTTCACCATCACGTGCAAGTGGTTAGCATTTTCACAATTATTTTTCAAAGGTTAATCACTTGCTCACCGATTGTGCACTAGGCTTAAAATGCATATGCATGTGTTTCCAACACCTAGTGGCACTAGATGATCGAGTTGTCCGATAAGAGCTCCCCATTTAATAGTACTATCATCTTCCTAAATGTAATCACACACTCTATAGTGTTTTGATCACCGAAAATAAAATGACCATATTGATATCACCTTTGTCTTGAGTCTATTTTGTTTTCTCTTTCTTCTTTTTCAAGTCTCACTACTACAGAATGCTTAACTGCAGCGGGCAATTTTGGTTTCCATGGCAAAAACGCATCCATTGTGGTGAGAAGGTCACAGTAAATCATGAATCCATCATGGCGGGCGCATAAAGCCGCAAGAAAGAACCTATTAGCAGCGGCGGGCACTTTAGAACGTCCGCCACGGTAAAGCTGAGGAAAAAAACAAAAAAAACCCAAAGCCCACCGGCGAGCCCATATCCTGAGCCCGCCAGCGAGTCCAATCCCAACCCGCAACCCTAGTGCCGCCAGGATCTTCACATCGTCGCCGTCATCGTCCCTAGATCCGATTGCCTCCACCTCTTCACGCCGGATCTAGTCGGCCCCGCATCGGAGAGCCACGGCCCCGCTGCCGCCGGAGATGGGCAAGACCGGCCTCTACCTCCCAGATCCACCTCCCTGTATGGAAAGAGAGAGGAAGGAAAGAGGGAGTGAGGGAGAGGAGCTAGGAGAGATGGAGAAAGAGAGTGAGGTAGAGGATACGGCGGTGCCATTACCTCGATCTTGCCAGCGCCGCCAGATCCGCCATCGCCGGAGGTGGAGGCGGCGCCCACCGTCGCCGGATCTGGGCGTGGATCCGCCGACACCGGAGAAGAAGGGGAAGGAGGCACCAGCCGCAGCGCGCGCGCGCCGCCTCCGCCCGATCGCCGCCGTGGCTCATGCACGCGACTGCCTTGCGCCCGCCCAGCGCGCCACGCCCACGCGACGCCGCCCCTGCTGCTGTGTGGGTCTCAAGACGACGTCGTGGCCCTGTGACCTGACCTGTTGGGCCCTCTCTGCATGATGACCCGTCGTGCCCCGTGAACGCCGTGGGCGCCTGCGCAGCGCCACCGAGTCGGCGCCACCGCGCCGGCCGACGGAAGGAGAGGAAGGACGACGGAGGGAGGGAAGGGTGTGACGGAAGGAGAGGAGGAGGAGGTGCGCGCGAGGAGGACGACGGAGAGGGTGCGACGGAAGGAGAGGGAAGGAGGTGCGAACTTGTTCGGTCTTGGTGGGAGGGAGTGGCTGAGGCGAAATGGAGACGGGAGTGAAACCCTAAAGACTACGTATTTATATGTGAAGACGGCTATCGAAGCCGTTGGGCTTTTTGGGCCACGGCCTTAACCAAGGCGGGTCTCATAGGGACGCCCGCCACGGTAAATTCATTTATTAGTGGCGGACGCCCTAAAGCGTCCGCCTCGGAAAATAGTAGCGCGAGGCGGACATCTTAGGACGTCCGCCATGGTAATCGATTACACCATGGGCAAAAATGCTCGCCACGGTAAATAAAAAATGCCCGCCGTGGTAAATCGTGGGATTTACCGTAGCGGGCAAAAATAGGAGCCCACCACGGAGTGCAAAAATGGAACGCTGCGCAAAATCGTTTTTGTAGTAGTGTCTGGAGCTTGATCATCATCACATGTCCACACCACCACCATGGACTTTATTTTATGTGTCCATCTCCATCCATGAATGCAACCTAGCTCCTTCACTTGGGTTGAACCAACCTATCTCAAATCCACACTTAGATCATAGGGTTAATCCAAATAGGTTTCATCAATTAATCAAAATCAAACTAAAGCTTTCACCACCTCGTCCCAGTATCCAAATAGCACCTAGTGAGCGAGTTGGGGTCATGGGTGAAGCTAGGGGTATGCCCATGTATTCCATAGAATACCTAGGTTTATTCAACAAAACTAAAACTATATGTGATAGTTGTAATCCTCCTACTAACTAAATAGTGAGTTAAATGGTTATTTAGGTCATTTAATCATGATTAACTTGATTCTGTTTAGACATTTAGACGGTTCTTAAAAGTTTAAACGGTCAAACGGTTTAATTCACCATTTAGGGCCTAAATGACACGGGTGACCACCATTCAATCAGTCTGTTCGCTTGTTGGTTTCAGTTAGGGCTTATTAGTCATGATATAGTGTTTTTCTCTCACAACAAACCAGCACCAATCGAACTTATCCGTCCAGAAACTAACCAGCGAATAGATTGAATGTTTAAACGCTGATTAAGCAGCCATTTAGGTGAAAAGTGGCTATAATACTAGTTTAGGTCGTTAAGATAAGAAAAATAAAGGAGCCAAGCACCGAGCCAGCGAGCTAGGCAGGAGTTTTTACACGTGGAACAGGAGAGTTGGATGCAACCATTTACGGTTTTCCCCTCCAAGTTATGGCTTCGCCGACCAACAGGAACCATCCAAACGCGGGCTGAACTATGCCGTTATCATCTCTCTCCCTCCTCCGCCACCACCCGCCGCGCCCTCTCCCGCCAACTTCAAATCGTCAGCCGCCACACCCCCGCCTCCTCCACCTCCTCCTCCCTCCGTTTACACGGCGCCGCGCCTTCGTCTGCCAGCCGCTCGCCGCGACCACGGACGACATGGCTGCTGCCTCCGTGTCGGCGTTGCCCCCCACGCTGCTCGAGCACATGGGCCAGGCGGGCACGGCCGCTGATCTCACTGTCCTCGTGGCCCATATCCAGAGCGCGTGCAAGCGCATCGCGGCTCTCGTAGCGTCCCCCGGCAACGCCGAGCTGTCGCGGGCCAAGGCGGGGGGTGGGGCTGTGGCGGCCGGGCGTGACGCGCCTAAGCCGCTCGACGAATTGTCGGTTCGTGCTGTCTTCGCTTGTTCTTTAGTTCCTAGTCTCGTTCTCGCATTTAACCACCACGTTCTTTTTTATGGATGTAACTTTGTTGTGGGACTGATCTTAAGGGCTTATATGGCAGTATGGTAGTACATAACAAAATATCCATCTGAATGTGCTTGATCTCTTCTATTTTATGCCGTGTTTATATTTTTCCTTGATCAACTAACTAGTTGATTCCCAAAAAAAATGTAGCTTTGACATCGTAGATTTAGGCTATGAAAGGTCGAAGATTAGAGACCTGAACCTTTGTTAAATTCACCTGTATAGAGTTTGGATTGCAGAATCAAATGGGCTATGTTAGGTGTTTGCATTACCAGATTATCGTGCTTGAATCCATTGCTCTGCATACCACAAGAACTACATTCAAATATTCTACCATATCTCTTTCACTGGTGGCAAAACTGTGTTAAGCATCCTTTCTGTTTGCTTGAATTCAGAATGATATCATCTTGTCATCGCTCCAAAGTTCTGGAAAGGTTGCAGTGCTAGCGTCCGAAGAAAATGATCTGCCCATTTGGATATCTAATGACGGTCCATATGTTGTTGTTACCGATCCGCTTGATGGTTCTCGCAACATTGAGGTCTCCATACCTACTGGAACAATATTTGGGATCTACAATAGGCTGGTGGAGCTCGACCATCTCCCTCTGGAAGAGAGAGCTCAGCTCAATTCACTGCAAAGTGGAACTCGCCTTGTTGCTGCTGGGTATGTCCTGTACTCATCTGCCACCATCTTGTGTATCAGCTTCGGTGCAGGTACCCATGCTTTCACATTGGATTGGTCGACCGGAGAATTCATCCTTACACATCCTTCCATCCAAATACCCCCTAGAGGTAACCAAGCATATCAGTATTTAGTAATTTGCTGCTTTCCACATTCTTCGCTGAACATTGAACAGTTGCTTGCTAGTCATTACTGATTGCTTAGTTTCAGTTGCACTAGCTGTGCAAGTTTTATTAAAATTGATACCTGAACTCTCAACGTGAGTTATTTCTGAAGAATGTTACAATAATTTTCTTATGACTTAGAGACTGACAGATGTAACCCTGCAGAGTCTGCAACTCTGCTTCATTGTATAAACCTGTTTCAAACTTGCACCTTCTAGTAATTCCTTTTACAGGTTTTTACTCTCAACATGAGTTATTTCTGAAGAATGTCACAATAATTTTCTTATGACTTAGAGACTGACAGATGTAACCCTGCAGAGTCTGCAACTCTGATTCATTATATAAACCTGTTTCAAACTTGCATCTCCTAGTAATTCCCTTTACAGGTTTTTACCTTTGCTCAAAAGCTACAGTTGCATATTATGTCAGGGCAGATATATTCGGTGAATGACGCTAGGTATTTTGACTGGCCCGAGGGCTTAAGGAAGTACATTGACACAATCAGACAAGGCAAAGGACAGCATCCAAAGAAGTACTCAGCTCGCTATGTGTGCTCACTGGTTGCTGATTTCCACCGGACGCTCATATATGGTGGGGTTGCTATGAACCCAAGGGATCATCTGCGGCTGGTTTATGAGGCAAATCCTCTCAGTTTCCTTGCTGAGCAAGCTGGGGGTAGAGGGTCAGATGGCAAGAACAGAATCCTCACCATTCAGCCTGTGAAGTTGCACCAGAGGCTGCCCTTGTTCTTAGGGAGCATGGATGACGTGCTTGAGTTGGAAAGCTATGGAGATGTCCAGCAGAAGGTTAATCCTGGATATGAAGTTTAACGATATGTAAAAAGCTTAAGATTTTTCAGGTGCCGAAGCATACAATAAGGTAACACACGTGTGGCAACCCTGTATTTGCATACAATAAGGTAGCCCACCACAACTTGCTTGGGACTAAACGCTTTGTTGTTGTTCCCTCTTTTCTGCCAAAATTCGCTGTACTTTTCAGTGAGAAGTATTATGATTTTTTTGGCAGCTTTCACAACCCTGCACCCTATTTGTGAATAATAGAAAGCTTCTAAAATCTAAACATATATATACATTATCTCTTAGCACCGCCACCACATTCCCATGTAGTCAATGCAGCACTTCTTAGTAGTAGTAGCAGTATCATCTTGTTTTGCAAGTGCTGGCTGCAGAATGAAGTCACCATGTTGCACTCATGACCTAACTACTTTCCTTAGGAGATCCATGATGTAACCACTGAAACTAGGAACATGCAGTTCTCTCATGGCTCGTGAGGGTTAATACTAGGAAACATTACATATAAGAAACCATGGAAATGTTCAAAGTTCACTGCTCTAATGCGAGCTGCTTGTGCCGGTTGAGATCGTTGAGGTAACTCGAGCGCGTGTAATCTTCTGAATCGCATGAGTCAAACATCAGGGGCTTCACGATTTTAGGCCTTCTCACTAGCTCAAGTGACTCCCGGTCTCCCTTCAAGAAACAGACTACCTGCAACCAACAAATCAAGGGTCAATTTCCTCATTTGCACTTTGATTAGCAGAAAAGATCCACTTACCGATTTCATACTAGGCCTCGTGGTTGAGCTGTGGTGAATGCACAAGGATGCCACTGCTAGGGTGTACACCATCTCTTCAGGGTCATACTCGTTGCCGAGGGAAGGATCCACCAGCTCTTTGATGTTGTTCGCATCAAGCAGCGGTTTTGCCTTCACAGATGATCAACAATTTGTGAATTCCAGGGTTTCAGAAGCATGTAATTATGCTGCTCATCTTTTATTTTCTTTTCATTTTCTCTTACTACTGAATGATGGTCAAATTACACATAACTACATCACACAATCAAATCTAATGAAATGAAAAGGCCTGTTCCTCTCGCTGAAATTTGACTTATGCTGATGCTTATGTTGATTTTTTGTGAGAGGAAAACACTGTTCGTTCGCTGAAAAGTACTACTGAGTTTATATATATAGTAAAGTGTGCAGTAGTAGTTTGCTAAATTGTACCCATATCACTAGGCTCTGTCTGGATGAGTCCACCGCTTTCCGCCCGGTAACTAGTTCAAGAAGTAGAACTCCATATGCGAACACATCGGTCTTCTCATTTATGATCCCATGCATGAAGTATTCTGGGGCCATATACCTAAAAATAGGGTGTAAGGTTCAAGTTAAAACAACAACTAAAATACTATATTTGACTATGAAAGCATGATCAAGACTCAAGAGACAGCCAGTCTCACCCGAATGTGCCTTCAATGGGATACACAACATGATGGGTCAATTTGTCAGGGAGCCACTTTGCAAGCCCAAAATCTGATATCTGTATAAGGAGGGAGCAAAACTGTAAGTCTTGACATCCATAGTAATCACATAATGGGCACGATTAGTGTAACCTAACAGTAGAACATACCTGAGGTTGGTAGTCTTCAGTTAAAAGGATATTAGATGCCTTGATGTCTCTGTGAATTATGCGGCGATGGCAGCCTTCATGTAGATAAAGCAGCCCTTCAGCAATTCCAAGTGCAATGTTGAACCTGACTTTCCACTTCAGGGGCTCCTTTGTACCTGATCAGCTGAACTCCATTTTATCACTAGACTAAGGGCATCACAGTACACTTTAACAGCTAATGAACATTTTATATTAAAAAGGCAATGGTTGTGTTATCAGACCGTGCATGTGCTGTACGAGACTTAGGCCACTGAGTGTAAATTTATAAAATAGTATGCAGAAATGGACACATGAACCTTTTTTCCCCCAACTAATTGCACTTTGAAGATTGGCATTTCAAACACTTCTTTGAAGGATTATGATGTACTGGCATTAAAGGTAAAGATATGCTCCCATCCAATTCTTAATTAAAAAGTGACTGTCCCTTTCAGAAATGTTTGCATAAAGTATGCCCCCGTATCACAGATAATCACTCAACTATTTCATTCATTAGTTAGCTAACAAAAGTGTTAATGTTACGAGAGGAATATACCATGTAGAACAGAAGCAAGGCTTCCGTGAGGTGAAAACTGAAGAACCAAGTGCAAACCCCCTTCCACACTGAACCCCAAGAGCTGTGCTGCGTTTGGGTGGTTAACATGGGCTATTATTCCAAGCTCAGATAAGAAATCGCTAACTCTGTCCTCTTTGTTACCGCCTTTTGTTAATCTCTTCACTGCCACACATTGTCCATCAGCAAGCTGGCCTTTGTATACCTCGGCATGCCCTCCCTTCCCAATCATTTTCTCTAGAAAAGTCAGCCACAAAACAAATTCAGTGGAAACTCAGGGCAGCTAGATAATAAAATTTGGTTGAAACACTATTAGCATTACCAAAAAAAAAAAGGGCAATGATCGCCTAAAAAGATCAGAGCTCAAGGAATTACATTTCTATATAGTATTGTCGCAGTATCAGAGGTACTGCAATCTACAAATGTTCATGCCAAAAGACTAGTTTAGACTAACATGTGCATGATCTTAACTTTTTGCTGCTAAAGGACAGGACAGTAACAAGTCAGCATCATTAACCTAAAGAACTGTTCATGACTAGGACCTCAGACCCTCACGTAATTTTGTTTCCCAGTGAAATCATAGCAGTACAGTTGTAAATTTTAGCTTAATGCTAAAGCTGTTTTCCACCACACAAATGTTGCAATGATAGTAACGACGCCTAGTCATTAAATCACCCACATCACAAAGTAGTTAGTGTGCATGACTGCATGTTACCTGAACTAAAACTGTCAGTTGCAGCACAAAGCTCGTTGTAGTCAAAGCTTCGCCATGATGGCCTCCATTTCCCAATCTCAGGGAGGATCTCAGGAGCAATGGCACTGCAGTCCTTTTGGTTCTTACCACTCCGCATTCTCTCCAGGTACCCTCTAAGCCCTCTGCTCTTGGATCTCTGAGGGAACGTCACTGCTCTGCCCATGGACTTCTTTCTCCTAAGTATTAGACTGCTGATCAGGTTCCTCCACTGCACATTATGGTTTGACTCTGCTGACTGCTCGACTGAGACACTGTCATCCGAGTCCATGCTACCAGATACTGAGATATCTAGCACAGCTCGCGGAGAGCTCCGATCAGCACACTCACTGCTGTCATTGCTACTGCTCTTGGAGAGGGTTCCCGGCATTTCATCAGCACTATCTTCATCATTACTGCTCTTGGATCTGATTTGAGGCACTTCATCAGCGCACTCAACGTTGCTGCTCTCAGAGCCCGTTTCAGGCACTTGATAGCAAGCACCATCAGATTCAGCACATTGGTTGTTGCTGTCACCGGCACTGCCATGCCTATCATTGAGATCTTCACTCGATACGGTGGCTTCGATTACAGACCCGGCGTAGTCACAATCCCCCTTAGTAGATTCATCGGACTGTGTCTCTGTATTCTCTTCATCCACTCCTGCAGACATAGCAAGGGCTGTGACAAGTATGTTATTTGATTACCAACTGAATTATGTTCGTGAAAAAAATCAGCTATCAAACTACAATCAAGAACAGGACAAAGTGCAAAGCAAGTCACAGCAAGAAACAAAAACACAATTATGATACACCGATTGTCTGGCTTGCCTTGAAAAGCACGTGCTGCCAGAAGTTACATGACGCATTCTATTGAAGAAGTTTTTGTTTACAAGAAATACATATATGAAATACCCACACAAAAAAATTGACATCTGCACCACCCCCTTGCCCCCTTCCAAAACTGATGTTTTGTTCCCATCTACCACAGCCACAGGCGCTGAACATGAAAGCGGCGCTTAAATAAAACAGCATAAATGTCCGTTTCAGAGGCTTTGGTAGGGTTGGAAATTCGGCAGAATTTGACCATCTACCAGTCCACCATATAAAATGGAAGCAAAAGATCGCACGGCCTGAGACGTAGTTTACTGTTTCGAATTCGACCAGGAATCCCAAACCTGACATCAGCCATCCCCCTCCAAATAAACAAAACGACTGTTCAAACTTCAAAGTTGCGTCACCAAACCTCAAGTTTGGAATCTGGAAACCCATAAATCAAATCCAGGATTTACAAAGAAAAAATATCGAGTCTCTCCTAGTAGCACCCATCAGAAATAATGACTTCCATAAAAGAAGCATCAGAATGGAGAAAGAAAAGATACAGCAGAGGCTGTGACTTGTGAGCCACAGAAATTGGGGAAGGAAGGCCATCAAAGAAGCGGCGCTCACCTTCCTTATCTGAAGAAGAAGAAGAAGCGAGAAGATCCTTGAGCAGCCGCTCGTCCTCCCCTGCCTCTGCGGGACCAAGCAGGAAAAACTCCTTCAGTTTCACCATCGCCGGCGACAAGGTCAGGCGGTTCCCCCTCTCCCGCCCAACCAAAATAGACGGAAGAATGTACAGAGATGAATGAAAACAAAAAGAAGCAAGCTTTGTATCCGCGCGGTAGAATCTCTCAGGGAGAGGGAGAAGGGAGAAGGGGGAGAAACGAAGAATACCTTCCGTGGGAGCCATATATCCTCTTCCTCCTCACCGGCAAGCGGCGGCAACGACACCAACTTCGCTTTCAAGGGCAATCAAGGTCGTCGAGGACGGCGTCTCGCATTGAAACAGCTTACCAACTGATGAGCCGGAAATGGAACAGGCAAGCAGACGGGAGGGAGACAGAGGTACTTGGAGCTCGCACGGCACCCAAGAAAAATGGAGGATGGAGGAGGCGCAAGGAAAATTAATACTGTACGAGACGTGGGAGAGAGAGAGAGAGAGAGGATTGCTGGACAAGTGGATGGGGATGGTGCAGGGAAGAGAGGTGGCGGGTTCTTTTGAAAACCGCCGCTGTGCTGTACTGCTGTGCTTTCCTTTGCGCTGCAGGCTTGCGGCATTCCTCCCTTCTCTCAAAAGAAGAGAATATCATATGAGAGAATATAGGCAGGGCGGCAGGTCCAGTCTAGAGAGAGAAGGGGAGGGAGGGAGAGAGGGACCGGCAATGGAGCACTTGATAGTCGCTCAGGTTTTAGCACGTTGGTTGGTTGGTTTCAGTCAGGGTCTATCATTCGTAATATAATGTTTTTCTTTTACAATAAACTAGTATCAGTCGGGATTATCCGCCCCGGCTGTTTTTTAGTAACGTGACCTCTCTCTTGAGTCCTGCAGGGAACCTACGAATACAGGGCAAGAGAAGACAGAGAGGGAAAAAATATTTGCAAAACTTTGTGTGATGGAATTGGTTCGTGTGGTTGTGGAGAAGAGAATGGAGATGCGAGAGTTGGTGGTGGAAAAGCCATGGAATTTGATAGGTGCTTTGTGTTGTGTCTTGTGCCTAATCCTCTCGGTAAATCTTGGAGAGCTTTGGTTGGAATGGGAAAATTGACCAGAGATTGGATGTTGATGTCTGCCTTCGTGGAATTAGGAATGGGAATATATCCATGTTGGATACAGTAGATAGTAGTTGGAGTGTAACTTATTATCGTCGCATGTTCGCTTGAACTTATCAGCCGACTTATCAGCTAGAATTTATAGTATTTTCTTCTCACAACAACTTATTAGCCGGCTTATCAGCTAGAATCCCAAACCTTTAATACCAGCCTAACAGACCCTGTTCCAAGTGCATCCCATGCCTATAGATTTGGGGGGTTGGGGGAGGGGGGGGGGATTTATATATCATTGGCTAAAACTTGTATCTCTAATCGGCCACCTAAAAAGCTCAAAACACGTCAATGTCACTATCTATAAATTATTGCCTTTCACATCATTATATTAACCAATTGTATTTTGGTAGTCTTGGCTAATAGACATCAAACGACCATTTTTCTCTTCGTCTCAGTTCAACATAAATTTAGTTGCTTCCTTTTATGCCTCCAATTGAGCACGTGATGTTGTACTACTATGCAACCTTGTAATTCTGGAAGGACCTATTCACTTTGAGAGTTGAGACCTAGGTACATGTGGGGAATGTTGCATGCTTATCCTCCACAACTGCATCCACGCTCGTAGCCAAGCAATATCATGAGCACAGGCAACCAACGCATCGAGCAGTAGCAACCAGCAACCACTCAACCCAATTCACCCACACACTGAGCAAACCACACAGCCAACATCTTACACCATCCGTTCCTTGATCCGAGATCCATTCTGCCACCTTCTCCCTGATCGATCTGCCCATTCACTATTGTTGACCATATTTGTGATGAGGGGGTGACTACTGGGAGCAATACTAACATATAGATATTCATATGCTTACTCAGGCAATTATTTTGATATGGAATGAAGTACAGTTTGACATCAATGCCGTTAAGGGATTCAGGTTTATTATGTCAGTGGAATGTAAAGAATTTTCTCTTGGATTTTCTTCCTTTTGCAAAATAGGGCTTGGAGGATGGACCTTTTTGTGAGTGGCCGTTGGGGGCACAATGGCACATGCATTGAAATGAACCGTGTGAAATCCGGTGGCCTTGCTGTGGTACCAGTCACGTACCAGATGGTAATGTCTGGTCTACATTTTTTTATGGATCATGCGCTTTGCTTCAAAACGTAGTGTCATTTAAGGTTGAGTTGAAAAGGCTGCTTTCCTTAAAACCAAAAAATTTGGTTGTAAAATTTTATGAAAATTTTTCAAATCCGGTCCTTGCTGTGGTACCAGTCACGTACCAGATGGTAATGTCATGAAGCATTAAATATAAAAAAAATAAACTAATTCAAAACGTAGTGTCATTTAAATTTGAGACGAATCTTTTGCTTTCCTTAGCTTTTCTAGTAAAAATGGAGTCATTAATTCGCTTAATATAAACGAAAAAAGATTAAAAGTATGGTAAGTTTATTTGTCAAAAAAAATAATAACTAAACTAAAAAAGCCTTAGCTTTTTCCCAAAAAGATGGTAGTAAGGAGTAATGCCACATCGGCACTCATTAAAAGCTCCAGGACTGTACCATTACTGAGAATTCAATCTGAAAGTAGGAATACGTGGATGGCTTACACGTGACATGAAATACAATTTAGTCCTAAAAAGATGCTAATCTTTTAATCTGTATATGCCATTATGTAATTTAAAATGACCAGAAAAAGATGCTACTACTAATGGCCATAACGTTGAGAAAAATCTACGGGGCCCACATCACAGCGACTGTGCCACCAGGAACCGCTCTCTCCTCCCACACTGCCAGGGCCAAGTGGCCAAGTGAAGAGGAACAGTTATGTATGGGCTGCTGCTGACACTCTTGGGGGAAGTTCAAATCCCACACTCCAAAGCACATGGAACGGAACGGAACGGAATGGCCGGCATTCACTCATCGTCCTCATCCACGGCCAACAACACGTTTTGGACAGAGGCACACACGAGGACGGGGTACGGGGGGCGGCCAGGGAAGCATCAATCCGTATCCACATAGGATACGATCAGTGCACAAGAATCATCTCGTCTAGACGTCTAGTACCAGTTGCCAGTTGCCGGTTGCCGTGGCAGAACACCATCGTAAACTCGTGGATCCATTCACTTCACTTTTTCATCCGCCATTGACACACCTCATTTACTGCACCCTCGGTGCCCTGGTTCCCAAGTTCAAATTGCTGGCCACGAGCTCGCAACGCATGCCGTTGCTCGTGCGAAAATCTGACGCTGACAGGAAACAAAAGATTGGGTGAGCGACTGAGCGCCACCGCGGACGGCGGACCGCACGTATTTTACGTGGTTGGAACCATTCCGGCCAAAATACGTATGGAACCGCTGTTTTGCTGCCAGTAAAAACCTTACTGAGAAGTATTCGTTACATGACACTGAACAACGAACATGATAGGATCCTCGTCAAAAAAAAAATGAACATGATAGGAGCAGTCGTGTTTGTGAAGAAAAGAAACACGACTCCATGATGGAGTAGTACTGTAGTAGAGTGATGTTAGCGGTCGATCGGCACTAGTTTCTCACCAAGGAAGCGCTGAAAGAGATGGGATGGGCGTCGCAAAACCCGGCGCGCAAGCACTCGCATCGCAGACGCAAAACTGCAGGTGGATCGACGCCACTCCCCGCACTTGCAGTGGTGGACTGGTGGTGCTTTAACACCTTTTTTTGTTTTTAAGCTGCCAACGTGCGCAGCGCAGGGGAACGCGACGACACCAATCATCTGAAAACTGTGCGATTGCCCCGCTGCACTGCACTGCAGTGTGATGGGGCAAGATGGATTAGGAGGCGGTCAATCTATGTGCTAGTACGCGCGAACTGCACCATTACCTGGACGCAAAGTGCAGGTGCGCCACCTGCGGAGTGCGTGAGCATGGTGTCGTGACTCGTGACTGTCGTCCGTCCTCGTACTCAAAACACCTTTATCGGCTGGGGAAAAGCCGGGAGCAGTTGGACCGAATTCCCTTCGGCGACGCTGAAGCTGGCAAAGCAGCTGCGAGTCCGCGACTTACGCACGCTCACTCCATCCATGGCTCGTCGTCAGCCGGAGCCCAACCGAACTTGAATCTCCCACTCCGCGACTTGTTAATGCCGAGGACCATGCTTTTGCCGGCCGGGGGTCCTGCTCCTGCCTGCCGGTGGGGCGGCAGAGCCGAGCACACGATGACCGACTTCTCCAGGTTCCGCGCCGCGCTCCTCAGCTCAGGCCAGCGCGGCCGGCCGCCTCCAGAACGTGCGGTGCGGCAGTCGGCAGATCCCTCTGCGTGTCATCTCCGCGGTCGGTCGTAGGTAGCACAACAAACGAGCGTGCCGGCGTGCGTGTCTGTCACGTGTTATTATGGCATTCAATTTTGGCAAAACTCAGGTCAGGTGCATGCAAGTGGGAAGTGGGAAGGCCACCCGATTATTGCTAATAAAGACGCCGCCAGGTCGACGCACACGTATACAGGCAGTATCCCACAGCACCGTACGAGGCGACAAAGCTATCTGTCACCACCAGGTGCCATCGCTCAGACGCGCTGTCAGATTAAACGGCGCCATAAACCCTCGCGGCCATGCTAACGACCACCGGCACCGGCTCCTCCCTCTGTCCGTTCGCCGACGGCCAAACGGCGTCCGTACACGTACGTGCAGACGCGACGGCGGATCCTATTCCTAGCACGAGATGGATCAACGGGCCACAGACCACAGGGAGAAAGAAACAGGCCGGCGGCGGCCACGATGGACGGAGGGATTAATTGGCTGTTAGCGTCGGACAGGGACGACGGAGCGCCGGTCAAACGCCACCGAGCACGAGCACGAGCACGGGCACCGAGCACTGTGTGGGGGAGCCGTTGTTGGTCTAGCCCGCACCGCTAGACTTTTTGGCAGTGGACAGTTCGGCTCGAGTCACGCTCCACTGATTGTGCTTAAACGCTCGGATTTTGACCTGGCGTAATTGCGTAG